GTCTTCTATTGGACGGAAAAGCAAAAAAAAAAAAAAAAATTACCTGACATTAATTGGCAGAGAGAATTTTTTTTAAAAGTAATAGGGCAGGGAAGTTAAGGACTTAGCCTTCTAAAATAGATATACCAGGTTGGCTTCTTGATGGGAGCTCTTTCGTATTCATGCATAGAAGCACTAGGCTGGGCCTTTAATAAAGTCTTTAGGTACTTTTCAGTGGTGTTTTTCTTGTAACGGAAGCTGCATGCTCTGGATGAAGAGGAATAACTGGCCTTTTATATGTTGGATTTTGGATGAATTTTTGTGTCTGTTTCTGTGAAATAAGTGTACACACCAAAAATTTATAGTTAGTATGCAGTATGAGGGTTGTGGAAGCAAAGAAAAACGCTCTTCCTAGAGCAAGAGCCTAGCTATAACTTATCCCTATGTTTCCTTGTCATCTTCTCTGGAAAATACTATTTCAGAATGTAGGGGGTTTTTTAGTGGATCACTTCTTAACATGCCTTTGTATCCATTACAATGTCTATTCACAACTTATAATGATGTAAAGCTTACCATGTTAGCAATATACGCATTGAATGTTTGTAACACAGGTACTGTTTCTTGGGCTACACAACTGTGCAGCATCTTTATCAGGTCACTGCTTCCAGCTGACCTGCCTTACAAAGGGATTGTGATGTGACATGTGGTATCAAGTGGTGGAAATCCAGTTGCGTTCCGAAACAAGCTCTGCTGATTCTTTTCTCAAGTTCAAACTCTCACTGCTAAAATGCACTCTTTACTTCTACTGTGAAGTTATAAAACTTCAGCCTCCAACAGTTGGATTTGACTTTTCTGACAGTAAAACTCTTTGTAATCGTCTTTCCATGTGAACATTGATGGGCAGTGACTGAAGCACGTCCTACCCTTTTGTTACCAAGATAAACAAAATGGGAGGATGACCCCTGTTTTATCTCAGCAATATTTCTGAGAAGTTCTGTACGATGTACTTCGCCTACTTGGAATATGTTTTGGTTTAGTGTTTCCTGTACTCTTTCCAGTAGTAGTTTAATCTTGAATCTGATTAATTGAAATGTCCTGAATTACTTTAGAGTCCTTATTCAATCAATGAAATAGAATACAGGATGAGACAACCCTTTAACCTCAATCAATGTTGCACTTAAATATAATGTACTTGTTTAGAAACTTGTTTTGGCATTCCCTTGGTGCAGCAGAGAGAGTTCATCAGGCCAGTCTTCAAACTCAGAGCAAAATCAACATCTTCATGTTTTCTCTCTTATTTGGCCTTTATTTTGGAGAGGGTTTAAAAAAACCAAACCAGCAAACAACCAAACAAGACATGCAGGGCTGCTTTGTTAAGCATCAAAACATTCGTTAGAATTTCTTTTCACAGTTACTGGTAAGCAGTGTACCAATAGAACTGCAAATCTAGTTTTAATATATTTTTGACAGTATCAGTTACTCTTGTGTGTACTCACTCTGAACTGTCTTCCCAGAGGGTCCACTCTGTATTGCTGTCCCTGTCTCCACCGCCCAGTTCTCTTCTAGCACCAGGAAAATACCAAGCTGTCTCCCTGCTCCAAAAAGCAGAGGAGGAACCTTGCAGAGGCTAGCAAACACTTCCCGTCTGACACCCCAACAGCACATGAGGTCAATAGATATCTCCAGAGTGGGCAAGGAAAAAGACTGTATTGAGGTTGTGATTCTATTAAACCAAGTAGATAATGGATCAGAGTAAGAAGATTACACAGTCAGCTGTTTGGGACTGGTGGAGTAGGAACTAACACTTTCCACAGTGTTAAAAGAGAAAGTCCCCACTTTGACTTTATGGTGATTTCAGGTATTTATTTCTGCCCTGTCATGACTGAATGTAGAACCATTGTGCCTTTCTAGGATGCTTGTTCTAGTATTCAAGTACCTTAAGTTGTCTATAATTTCTATTTTGATAGTAACTTACTCCAGGTGTTAAAGCGTTTTTTTCTGTACATTGATTCTTAAGTATTGGCTTTTTAGAAGTGCAAAGGAATGTATTTATTAATCTGACCACAATTTTAACTTGTTATATTCAGACAAGTTTATTTTAGGAATGACCATATTAAAGTGTGGCAAAATAAATTAAATTTGGATTAAAATAATGAAAAAAAAAAAAAGCCATGAATTAAATTACGCTATTTTGGAGTGTGATTAAGTTATTTAGACCATTTAGTACAGAGGGATCTGAAAATACTAGGAAATAGTTGAAGGTGACTTACTAACCAAGTCTTTGATTATTAAATTTGTTGTTTTCTTAGGTGTGCACAGATCCTGGACCTTTTTCTATTTTTTAAATTGAATAACCTGTACCCTGCTGACCAAGAAACCAGATTTGCATTCTCTTTTTTTTTTTTTTTCTTCTTCCTTCCTTCCTTCCTCATTGGAAGAGCACAGTAGTGGCTCCCTGTTCATTTCAGTAAGTATTGCTTTGAAAATAATACTCAGCTTGCCTAAAATCTTGTTGGCTTTAGCTGTATTTGAGCTAGTGTATTTGCTGAAAGAGAAATTATACTGTTAAGGATTTTGATAGCGTGATTCCTTCCCTGAAGGGAGTGGGAGCATCATTTTCAAAACTGTAAGAAATGAGTTGGTGAAAACTGGAAAGAAAAGGATAAAGTAAGGGTTAGGATATACGTTTGACACCAGTGAAGACAAGTTTACAGAAATAAGCTTTCTCTGCATCAGTGACTGGAGCTACTTTTTTTTCTTTCTTTTTTATAAATGAATAATTACGTAGCTAGAGATCTAGTCTTCTCGTTGTTTAAAAACCAAATATTGTTTCACGCTTCCATTCTGAGATGTGTTTCTGAAAGCCCATGTTGACTGAAAAGTTTTTGCCATCATAGCTATATTGACAGGACAGAGATCAATGCCACTCTATCATTTCAAGTAAAATATCGTTAGGACTGGTTGAAGACGTAGTTCTGTGACCTTATGAACATCTTTAGTTGGCTTGTCATCAATTATGTAGTAAATTTCTGGGTATATTAGGTATGTTAAATTCCTACTCCTAAATACCATTTTCCTAAAAAGCTACAGTTTGTATTAACTGCCTTTTGCGTTTTGTTTAAAATGAAAAGAATTGACCTGAATGTCAAGGTTAACTTCCTTGGAATAAAATGGTTTGGCTTTTCATTAATACAGATACCACAATAAGAACCTACTTTGTGTTACAATCTTGTCACTCAGATTAACCCCTTTAACTGCTTTGGTTTTACCTGTTCTTTTTTCTAGATGTCAGTTTGCTGCTAATGGGTGTAAGTAAATTAGATGTCTTGTACAGAAAGCTTCTCCTCACTAAACTTTTCATCAGAGGATGGGGAAAGCCAGAGGATCTGAAAAGGTGACTTGTTTAAAAAATAACAGCACAAACAGTACTTTATATTAAAAGAAAAAGACAACCCTTGAAGTACCAACAACTGTTACTATCCTGTATTTAAAAAAGAAAAAAAAAACAAAACACCAAACCAAAAAAACCCTAAACAAACAAACTGTGTGTTAAAGTTTGTTTTGTTCAGGAAATCATGTGTTTCCATACCAAGGGAGGAACTGGATTTAAAAGAAGTCTTAAAGGGATTTGCTAAATGTTTGTCTTTAAAGAGGCTGTTCTTGAGAAAATGTATATGTGTCCAATTACATTTTTCACTTATGCATATATGGTAACATACTTAAAGCAACATCTCTGAAGGTGTTTTCTAAAATCAAAACTTGCTGAATTTTTGCAGAGGAATTGTTCTGTTCTACATTAAAGAGGATCTTGCTAGCTTTCTATAACTTCTTAATAATAATGAGCTTTAAAAGTGTAAGATGTAATCAGAAGTTTCTCTTGTAGCCCAAAGTAGTAAACTCATTCTTTTTAGATGTCTTGACAATAAGAAAAAAAAAATGGAAGTACTCTTAATTTTTAAATATTTGCTGATTTTTATTAGTTATTATTAAGAGTAACACCTGGAAGTTGAGCACTTGCATTTCTTAAGTTTAAAAATTAAGTGACTGAATATATATACTCTGCATCATGTAGTATTTAAATAGGGAATGATAAATCTGCATTTAATAAGCTAATTCTTCTGTATTTGAAAATCAATAAAGAAAATTTAAAAAAAAACCCTGAAATAAAATTTTGCTCACTGTGGATAACAGTGGAGTTATGGGGGGGGGTGTTGTTTTTTTGTTTTAAGTCCAAGTGAAACATCTCAAAATGGCACCTGAATTGCTTTGTATGTCTGTCTGCAGTTGATTTTTTTCTTAACTAGCAGGCTTTCCTGCAAAATGAGAATGTTGCATTTTTAAAATGTTTAGTTTACTTTTGTTGGAATAAGCAAAAATGTGGTTTTTGTTTTGACTGCAGCATTTCTGTATTCTGTTGTGTGTGTGTGTATCTGAAATGGGGTGCTTTAATGTTTTCAAAACCCTTTCAAAAACTTTTAGGTGCTTCGTGAGATGTGATGAAGTTTCACTCCCCCATCCCCATCTCCCCCCAACACAATAGCTATCATATAGGGGAATTTCTGACTAATTCCACTGTTAGCTATGGCGCTACTAGGCAAGGCTTTTTTCTTGCATGGGGTCTATAAGGGTAATCACACTAATGTCAAACAGCAATAAGGAAGCATTGCTGGTAGTAATAATGGTATCAGCTATGGCTCCTCCTCTTTCATGGCAGGCAGGGGGAACCTCTCGCATGAGGTCAAAAGCTGTGGTGGAAACATGAGGCAGGCTTGCTGGCCTGCTGGCCTGAAAAGTGGAAGAGTAATTTATTCTATGTATTGCCCCTGAATGGAAAGAGGAGGTGTTCCCCAGCAGCCTGGCTTCACCTGGATGAAGAGGGAAGAATACCGCCTCCTCCTGACTCCTCACACTGGCTATAGCCTGGGGAGGGAGTACCACTCCCTAGTATGCATGCCCTATCATGCCAGAAACAGTGTCAGTGTTGTTGGGTTTGGTTTGTTCTTTAAACTGATCACTGTGAAGCTCCAGTAGAAGAAATTATGAAATTTCTTATACTTCAAGCATTAACTGAGATTAACTGACATTACAGACTGCCCTGCCTAGATGTAATCTGAAGTTTTATGTGCACACCCTTGATGTGATTACTGTTGATATCCTAATGCTTTATCCTCAGCTTATTAGCAAGAGCTGAAATTCCTCAACACATGCAAGATTTAGCCTTCAGGATCCTCCTAACTACAGAGGAAATACATGAATGCAGTATTTTTAGAGGATTTAGTGTCAAGCAAAACATCTCTTCATTTAGTTTACCCTCCACACTCAAGTCTCATACCTTTACCCTTATTTTCTTAGAAATGCTTAATGCACTTGCTGTTCTGTGTAAGAAAAGCAAAGGCTATATAGTAGAGCTATTTTTGATATGGTGGTAAACTGGATTTTCTTTCCACTCTTTTGGTTTGGTTTTCTCTGATGTTGGGAAGGTGAACAGATCATTCCTCTTATACTGTTGTTCTGCACTTTCCACCCAAATCTGCAGTTTTAGTTGGTCAGGTAACATCGTCGTGTGTATTTACAACCATAAGAATGAGCAAATTTTTCTTAGCATAGAGTATTTAAGGTTAAGAGGGCCATCCTGAGGGCATCTAGTCCAAATCCCTGTTTGAAACAAAGCTAACTTCTTAGTTGATTCAAGTCGCTTGGCACCTCATCCATTTGAGTTTTGAAAGTCCCCTGAGGATGGAGATTATTTGTAGTTTCCCTGTGCAATCTTTTCCGGAGCTTAATCACTATCAGTGTAAAAAAAATCTTTCACTGTGTTCCAGTAGGAATTTCTTATGTTGCAACACAACCATTACCTCTTGTCCTCTCACTGTGTACCTCTGAGAAGAGCCTTGTTTCATTTTCTCTGTAAGACTCTGCAGCCCTTTTAAATAACAGAAGAAAGCAACTAGATTTGCCCCTTAGCCTCCTGTTCCCCAGGCAATGCAAACCTCGTTCCCTTGACCTGCTGGCTGCCCTCTTGCTAAATGCAGAGGGTACACCATTGGTCTGCCTACCTGCGAGGATGTGCTGCTAACTCGTGTTCAGTTTGCTGTCCACCAGAAACCCCATGCCTTTTCCTGCAGAGCTGCTACCTAGCTGGGAAGTTCCCAGCCTGTATTGTTGCATTGAGCTGTTCTGTCCTACATGCAAGATTTTGGTTTTATTGGTGAGGTTTAGGATGTTTGTTGACCTCTTCTTCCAGCTTATCCAGGTCACTCTGAACGTTAGCCCTACCTTCCAGCTATCAGCCTCACTCTCCAGTTTGTGTCATTCATGAACTTCCCTAAGTGCTGCTAGTACCTTGTTTCCAGATAGACTTAACGTCATTGGCAACTACACTTTGATATTGGCAGTCCAGCCTCTTTTTTCACCCATTCAGTCTGTATTGTCCCAGTGTGGCTACAACGATGTTTAAGTGTAGCAGGTTGCTATGTCTTAATTTGGCCCTGGAAAATGACATAAGTTTTCAATATATCAGGTGCAAAATACTTTTTAAGAGCTGTGCAACTACAAGCAATGTACCTGAGCCTTTTTTTTTTTTTTAACTTAAAAACATTCTTATATACTTACCCTATGGTAGCCTGATTAATCTGTAAATGCAAAGCTGGCTTCATAACTTTTATTTTCTTTGTGGTTTACTCTAGCTCCTGAAATTAATTTTTAATATATATATATCTCTTCTCCTTTTCTTAGATCAAAAGTTGAATCTTCTCTACTTGTTTCCTTTCAACAGAATATTTGAATTCAGAAAGATTATTGGAAACAGGGAAAAATGCCAGACGCTGGTTTCGAAAGATTACCCAGTGTTCATTGACAAGGTACTTAAAAGCAAGAGATGATGAAGTTTAACTAAATTTATTTTCCTGATGGTATATAAAGGTGAAATCAACTTAGTACCTACCAGGCTGCTTTTATAGGTTAGAAGAATTGAATCTTGATGTCGCGTGAATCTACATTTTGCTGATGTCTGACATCACAGCATGACTTGCTGCTGGGATTGGCAACTGGGCACTTGAGTTAGGGAGCACATAGAGACAGGGTGGTGAATGCACCTCTGACAATATTCAGTTAGCTCTTGCTGATCACCAGTTTTCTAACAGGTGGCATTAACTGACCACTGGTATTCCCAGTTGCTCTGTATAAAGGAAAGGACATTAGAATTTGTCTGTGAGGGAAGAGGAAGTGAGCCTGTAGAGGCAAAAGAAATCGATGTGGTGTGAGTTCTCAAATGCTCTTGATTGGAAAAAGGAGGCCCTGTGCTTCCAAGTGAGGTGTGCAGATAGAAGTAATCATTGCCCTGAAGACTTTTCACTCTAGAAAGTGTGAATAGGGGGTCAGAAATGAAGAGTAGTTCTGAAGTCAAATAAATGCACTGGTGGTCAATGCTGTGGCAAGCTAAATATTTTAACAGATTGCTGTTCTGTTGTTTTGTTTGGTTCTTTTTTTTAATTGAGCTGCTGTGGATAGAATCAGGAGGCAATGGCAAAAATGTGAAATGGGCTTGGAAGGGATGGGAAAATAAGCAGTCATGTTGGCTACTAGCAGAGAGCAGAACGAAACCTAGAGAATAAAGCAGTGGTTATACAGATACTGTTTTATTTTTTCCCCAGTAATACAATAGTTGGGGAGGTGGAATGTCAGATCTTAAATCTCAAAAAATGCTCAAACTTAGTATGTGTTATGGAAGTTATTTAAAATGGGACAGCATTACACTTTATTCCTTGATTCCTTTAATAGGTCATTTAATAAAAGCAAAGTCTGAAACAAATGTTTTGATAACCTGTGGATCCCTATATTTGAAATAGGCCTCAGCTTCGGGGTTTTTTAAGTACATTTTTATCCTATAACAAATTCTTCTACTTTAAGAGATTGGCTTTCAGAGCAAGTTAAACCCTGATATGAAATATACTGCTATCAACCCATTCTCTCTGTAGGTTGAGGAGCAATCCGACTGTAAAATCCTTGAGGGGCACTTCATTTCCCCGTTGGCTCATTATGTCCCAGGTATCCTGCCAGTCGAATCTCTTGTAGCAAGGTAAGAGAAACCAAGTGGTATTTCCTTTCTGAAACTAGTACTGTAGACAAATAAAAATGGTCTATAAGTAATTTTATTGTGAAGCTAATTTATTGTAACACAAATTTATCTGTAAAATATTACAATCTGGTTTTTGTACTAATGTGTTGAAATAGATTTTGATCTCCAAAGTGAAGATAAATCTTAGTCATGTGATAGTTTAATCTGTGTGTAAATAAAAAAAAAATCCCCTAGAAAAAGTATGTCCTTTGCTATGGGACTTTTTTTTTTTTTTTTTGGAGTGTAGAAATCATATTGCACAAAGCTGTGGCATATCCTGGGTTTTTTTTTTAATTATTTGTTTGGGTTTTTTCCGAATGAGCAGGATGCTGGAAATGAAGGATGCTATAGCCAGGACAGTAGTTGTTTGTTTTATACATAGCAGGAGAAGCATGTTATATTGCATTTGAAGGAACCATTCCAGCCTTCCATTTACATTGAATACAGAAATACTGTATGTGTAGTGAAGTAGTAAGTTCGTTTAATTGCAGCAAGAGAATCTGGTGCCTTTCTTACTTGGCAAGCCAAAAAAAAACCTGTCCTCACGGAAAGCTGAAGGATCCCTAATAGTCGGAAGATACCTAATGGCATTTTTTCTGGTTTCACACTAACACTGTTTTGCAGTTGAGGAGTGTGTTTGGAAAGGGAGCATAATTTCTGTTTGCTTTTAGTTTTGAGCTAAGCTTTCATGATGGATTTTTTTTTTTCCAAGCTTTGTTTAATAACTTAAAAATTAAACATGAAAGTTTGTCAGCTCAAGTTGATACTGGCATTGTCAATTTTATCAATATTAGTGGTTGGTGTTTTTCTGTGTACTTAAACACGTAACACTAAGGAATGCCAGAAAAAGTTTGATAGTCAAAATATCAGTTCCCTTCCACCTCTCCATTGGTTAGAGAAGGAACCTGTCTTTTAACATTGTTGGACTAATTAGTACTGTACTAGAAAATACAGTATATTGATTGTTTCCTTATCTATATTCTCTTAGAGTTTGTAATCAAGTTATGCTAATGGTTACATGGGACAGTATTGTTACAGTTTTGAAATGCTCTATAAATTTCCTTTCAGATCATTGTGTATTGTGTGAATATTTTTTTCCGAAGTGTAACGCTGTTGTAGGTAACAGTGCTCCGTCTTGTGGTGAAAATACTAGTGGCTCGGAAGTGATTTTTTTTTTTATCCCCCCAAGTAGTTACACTGTAAATAACTTGAGTACCAGCAGAAGACATTAAGTGGTTGATGTTGGGTGTATGGAATAGTTTCATTGTTGTAGGGTTTTTGATTTTTTTTTTTTTTTTAAATTTAAATATATTGCTCATCTTAATCTTGAATTTCAGCTATTGGGCCCTCAGGAGAAAAATAGCAATGCTGCCTAGGAGAGCCAGTCATACTTGTTTAGGCTGCCCTTCATGTGAAGTTCCATTTCTCCACTCTGCAAAATTTAAATTGTGATGATGAGGTAGTGGTCTTTTTTAGGAACATGATCTTTCAGCTTGGCTCCTTTTCTCATTTGGCATTTATTCTGTCCTACTTTCTGATTCCTTTCTTTGTTTGATATGTTTATGAAAAATGATATTGCTGAATTGCTGGCAGTTTGCCTGCATGGGTTACAAAAATACTTTATTCTGTCTTTTTCTTTTTCTTTTTTTTTTTTTTTTTTTTCTTTTTTTTTTTTTTTTACAATTAGTGTCTCTGGTGCAGCTTGCAAATACATATACTTACTTTGCTAAACAGGTGTTTGTTTCTCATAGATTTCAGTTCATCATACCCAGAAGATGGAATAGCAAGCACAGACCTGTGTGCATTCATTTAGCAGGCACTGGAGATCATGTGAGTGTGTAAAATGTAAAATTGATCGTTACTGAGAAATTAAATAATCAGATTTTATCTTAATATATGTTTGTACATCTTATCTTTAGCACTTCTGGAGGAGACGCACATTAATGGCACGCCCAATGATTAAAGAAGCCTGTATGGCTTCCCTATTGCTAGAAAATCCTTATTATATCCTTTTGTGGAAAGCATGATAGTTATTCTTAACGTTCTCTCCAGAAGGTGGAAGACTTATCACACTGGTATAATATCTGCTTTGTGGATCAATTTCCAGTGGACTTTTCAGCGGATAGAAGCAAAGAGCAAAGTATGACCATTTCATGAAACACAGTGTGGAATACAGTTAATATAATATGCTACTCTTACACCAAATACTGCTTTTCTGATTTTTTTTGAAAATGTCTTCTACAGCTTCTTACTCTAGTCATTAGAGTAAAAGTTCTGATATGATGCTGTGTACTGATCAAAGTACTGATATGATTCCTTTAGCCATGACAGAATGAAAACTATGCATTCATTCTACATCATACTGTATGACTTCTGCATGTATTAATGACAGAAAAGAAAGTTGCCTCTCCTGCCTTCCCTTCTCAAATGCAACCCTTTGGTACCTCAGGTACTTCTGAGAAACTTACTGCTACCATTTAAGATTTTCTTTTTTAAAAAAAGTTAAGTTCTGTCCTGTCATCAACCCTCAGTAACTTCTATAACTCTGTTACTCTATTTTATTAAATAGGATCTCTGCTTACACTTTTTTCCTACCCATATACCTGACAGAAGTAAAATCTTTTGTTGCAAACTACATCATCAAACTACATTTAACTTGATTTAGTTCCAGTTAAACATTTGGAATTTAAGTTCCAAATTTTAATTAATCTGTGCTATTTATGTGTGTGATTTATTTTATTTTATTTTACTTTATTTTTTGTTTTAGTAGCCAGTTTTTATGTAGAAATTTTTTACTTTCTTTAACGTGAGTCTTCTACATGGATGTAGAAAACCTAAGGATCAATTGTAAGTATTACCGTTACATTCATGGATACAGTCTTTTTGAAATACCACTTTTTTTTTTCCTCAAGAAGCTCAAAGTAGTATGAACTTTGATAGCTTATTAAGGAAAAAAAATCCCAAGCATTGGACCACTTGTAACCTGCTAATGTGAAATTGTCTACCCATTGCTAGACTGCTTTGTCATTTTTTGTGTTAAGAGATCACAGTGATCAGGAAAGTTTGCACAAGATGAACTTGCAGTATAGAGTGAGATGCAAGCAAGTTGTATGAATGCAAGCAGGTACCAGTTTATTTTCCTGATTCACAATTGTGCATGTACAAATGCTGCGTTATATTTCAGTCAACTGTGAATAATCTTTGGTCCGATAGTGTATTTTCCTGTTACAATTGCTAAGATTTTGCTTTTTCAAGATACTTTAAGGATTTACGGTCAGACACATAAATAAATCTGGTGTTGCTTGTTTGTTAGTCAGTGGAAACTGTGCTGAAATACTAAAATGCTAAATACTGAAATGCTAAAATACTGAAAAAATTCAGTATTTTACAGGACTTGCTCCCTTGGTCAGTTTCTTAAATGTGAATTTAGAAGCCTAATTAGGCAGTCCTGGTTTTTTGCTTTTCACATTTTCTGAACCACTTGAGTATAAACAGAACTCAACAGGATGTGTGTCTGAGGCAAAGCTGTGGTATTAGTTTACCAATATTTCTTGAAATCCAAATATGAGTTAGTGTTTTAATCCTAACTTGGACATTTAACGTGAGCAGAAGATGCATAGAAGGTGATTTATTTTTAAACCTGTCCATTCTATTAGGACTTCACCAGGAGCACTGCCTCACATTACAGCATTTTAGATTTTCTAGATTTTATTTAGATTTCAGCATATGGATTTCCTAAATCCAAAAGCTTAAAAAAATTACTTTTAAGGAGAAAATTTTAATTAAAAAACAGTTTCTAGGTTTTTTTCAAAGCAGATACTCTATTTTATTTATTTTGACATAAGAACCACTGTTTTAAAGAAAGTGAATTACATTTACCAACTAAGATGATTGTTGTAAAATTGCTTCTTTGATAGAAAAACTGCTTAAGCATATATATATTTATTACTGCATTTAGAAGTGTAAGTTACAGGAGTTACAGGAGAGAGCGTGTGCTGGAATACATCCGGTGCTGTTTTTTTTCCCAGTTATTGAGGATCTGATGCAGGAGAATAAATTAAATATTTTGGCGAGGATATTTCTAACTCCATTCTGAGTTGTCTAGCTTGACAGCTTAGTGTATGCATGATGTAGAGGATTCTTTGAAAGGGGAGTGCACATTCTAATACCCCAGCCTGTAATTGTCACTCTTCGATAGAGGGTTACAAAGCGGCAGCAGCAGTTTTAGTTAATCTGCTAGTAACAGTGTTTAATAAATATAGCAGCTAGAGCGGGCTGAGGAATCTCGTAACAAAGCTGTAGGAAAGAATTACATTAGCCTATAAATACTGGTCTGCAGCAGCTGTGTTCATTTCTCCTGTGGCTTGCAGGGCAAGCTTTGTCCTTGTGCTTCAGAGTGTCTCAAATGTGATTGTATGCTGGCAGAAGAGGCCAGGAGCCTTTTGTAACCTGACTGTGTGATACTGAAAACACACAGTCCCCCTCCCCAAATTAGAGGTGTATTAATTGCTCTGTAAAATTTTTTTTTTTTTTTTTTTACTGTTTAGAGTCCCTCTGATGGTTCAGCTGAATAGCTTTCTACTTTTTTTGTTTCTTCTGTGTTTTAATGCTTTGCAGTACACTACATGAATTTCTCAGTACCGTGACAAACTTCCCACTTCACAATTTCAGTCTTACAGTGACACTGATGAGTGCTTCCAAAGCTGACATACTGATTGCTCTTCAAATGTTGTGTGCAATTTTTCAATGATGTAAAACAGGTAAATAAGAAAAAAAAAAAAAAAAAAAGAAAAAAAGGATTGTTTCTGCAAATGAGATCATGTATGTCTAGGACTGTATCACTTTTATTCTATTTCTAAAAGACCCGTTATAACTTCACAGGACAGAAGATTACTACTAATGAGATTCTAATGTTGGTAATGTCTGTTTCTAGAAGACCAGGCTGTCAGTGATATTACATTAGAAGCTTAGCAGGTGTCTATTTCTAGTTCTCATTTAGAAGAAAAAGTAGAAGTGCCAGAGAATCTGGACTTGTTTTTTCTCCTGTTGAATCAACAGGAGTTCAGCTCCAAAATTCTCTGAGATCGTGATCAGGCTTTGTATAAAAGTATGTATAGAATGATGAGAACTGTCAAAATCTAATCTTAGAAAATAAATCCTATATTTTCCTTTTCTGGCGAGAAAAGACGGTCATGTTTAAAAAATGTCTCGGACCTGTTTGTGATGGGAGGAGCTCTTGTTCTAGAGTCGGCAGCTCTTTTGCACTGGCTAGAGAGAGAAGGCTATGGACCACTAGGGATGACTGGAATATCCATGGGAGGACATGTAAGCTTTTATATTTCCTGTTCAGTAATTTTTGTTTTAACTTCTCATTTGATCATTTAGCATATGGAAATAATTTGTTTTATAGCGTTCCTCTCAGAAGTGCTTTAAAATAAACATTTAGAGTCACGAGAAACACATTGTTGGCAATTCTCACGTTCTGTGGTGCTGAATTAGTCTAATCTTCAATAAGTACTGACAAATCATAGAGCCCTTTGTCAGCCATCTCTTGACAGGCTTAATAAGAATATAAGCTTCTCACGTAACTATGTTTTTTTTCTACTGGGGGGGGACGAAATGTTTTCTGAAAGAAGGTCTGTGCTGGTCAATTGCTAGTTCTCCCTCTTTTCCTCCATTCTTCTTGCTTAAGCTTTTGTGTTTGAATGCATTGTGTGAAATGCTTCCTCTTTGTAGGCATGTTGTAATTGAGGTGGCTTTGGTGTCAGTTCTGTTCTCAACTCACCTTTTTTTGGCTGATCATTGGTATTGATTAGAGAAGGTTTCTGTGGTGAGGTGGATAAGATTTTGTGTATGATACTGTGCATATTCAAACTAAACCAGCAGCGTATTAGTTAGATGCTTGAAAGACTAATACACAGTTAAAATACTACTGCTTGTGTCTCTACAGATAATCATTGGTCTGTGAGATATAGGTACAAAGCTTATTAAAACAATATACCTCTGTTTTGCTGATCTTTGTTTGTTTGTTTGTTGTTACGAGCTAAGTAAATAATATATGTAATGGTAGTGTCTACTGAAAGGAAAGTAATTTTCCCCCAAAGCAAAATTTTATAACTCTAAATGTCACAAATCTACGAAGCACCTTTGATTTATATAAACATCACCCTGCTGAAACAACTTCTGCGATAAACATGTCTTCCGTGCCTTATTTGTAAGTTGGATTGGAATTCTCAAACTGGTATATGCACGACTAACCATGCGGGACACTTCAAATGCTATGCAAATACTATGGGAATAACTGAGTACAGTATCCTATACCAGTGGTCATAAACAGCATGGGTGTACAATGAGGCAAGATCTCAGAGAGTGAGTTTGGAAACTCCTTTGACTTTTTTTTTCCTTAGTCCAGGAAGATAAGTTTTTCGCTAGTCCTGACTTACTTATAGGACTTCTGGTACAATTTAAAACCAGGGAAATAAATCATATTTGATGTTGATCATCTATAGAATGTGTTTTGCAACAGAAGGTAGGTAGCAGTAATTCAGTTCTACTGATGGGGAGAGCTGGAAGTCAGAAGAAAGAAGTCAGACTTTCTGGCTATCAGAATATAGATATGTGGTGTTCTTGTAACTTCTTATTAATAAAAAATTAGAATAGAATTATAGCTCAGTTGTATAAACCCATTTATTAGAATATCTGGCACAGATATGGGGTATTTTGTGTTAAGGGGTTTTACACTGTTCAGTTTAGAGCAATAACATAACACTTGTCAAGAACATACCATATAGGGAACTTCTGCATGTTAAGCTGCTTTGCTCTGGTTTTTTTTTTTTTTTCTGGGATAAACAGAATATTCACAAAGATGTGTTCTGAGAACTGATGTAAAAGTAATAATTTAAACTTTAAAGGACAGAAAAAGAGTCTGCTTAACATGCTGAATTATTCTCCACATTTTGTTTCTGGTATACAAATTTAAAAAGTACAGAAAGTTAAATAGTCCTTCTCGTAGATTGCCTTCATTTTGCCTTGAAATAAGCTTGCAAGAGCTTGATGAAAAGGCTTTATAGACATTTTTCATGCTTTTAAACAACTAAAAGGTCAGAATAAATATTCCATTGGGAATTCTTGTAAGAAAGCGCCATTCAGCTTTGAAATTAGTCCTTTCCAGAGCAATGTTTGTTGTTAGGGAAGTCACTGAAGAATAGGCTGTATCTTCTAAATAGGTAAAAGTATATCCACCTGCCACAGTCCTTAACTGCTTTGGCAGTGTGTATTTGTTTGATACTGTATAAACAAATAAATTGAAGATGAGAGAGTTCTTTCTACCATATTGTGAATTCAATATTAAAATATGTAATAAGTGCCTTTGGTTCTAGATGGCTTCACTGGCAGTGACAAACTGGCCTAAACCATTGCCGTTGATTCCGTGTCTTTCCTGGTCAACAGCTTCTGCAGTCTTTACTACGGTAATTAACATATATTTTTGTTAATATACTAGAGTGTAATCAGATACTCAAGTTTACAGCTTTGGGTTGGCCACATTCACCTTTTCAGTTAGGGCATTTCATCACCCTTCAGCCTCTGTTAGCGACTAGTGGCAAAACCCACCCTTCCTGCTCAGGATATACGACACACTTGTGTTGGGTGATAATGTTGCTACTACTATGAGGGGTGCCTGTTTTCACCACTGCTGCTGGGGCAGATGAATGAATAGACTGGCTCTGACACCCATCCTTGGTTTAGCCCAGTCTAGATGTGTGTAAACCATAAGTGGGACTATTTTCTGCCTTCTTTTTTTTTTTTTTCCTTTCCGTTTCTTTTTGTTTGGTGGGTTGGTTTTTAAAGGGAGGTGCATTTCCATGTCCTATGTTGTAATATATGCTTATGCTTTGATTACAGTAATTCTAAGGGTTATCTGGAAACTTGGGCAGAATTCCACTGGAAAACCAAATCACAGAGAGGAACAGATCAATTTTCTCTGTATATCATTATTTTAGAACGATCTCTGGGTTTTACTTGTGTGCTGGACTCTTGTGTTTATAATCTCAGGGTGTGTTGAGCAAGGCAGTGAACTGGAGAGAGCTAGAGAAACAGTATTTTACGCAAACGGTTTACGAAGAAGAAATCATTCAAATGCTTGAATACTGTGGAGTAAGTATAGTTTATTTGCCCTACTTGCTAATATTTACATGTGCAAATCTAACAAATAATGTAACTTCCTTTTGCTTCCAGTAAAAGTAGCCAATTGTTAGCTGAAACATGTTTGCCTGTTGTTTCCTTATGCTTTTGATAAATGTAATCTTTGAAGGAAAACCTTCTGAAAAACAGAAGCTAGTATTTTGGTTGTATAATGTGTGTTAAGTATAGCCCTTGCTACAAGTTTTTTCATGACCGCACTTAGTGTAATCTGCAACATAAAATGAATTTAATCAAAACATTGAAACTGTAGATAATGTTTCCCAGTAACTGGCTTTATAGTCTGGAAAACCAATAGCCTGGCGTGTAAATACGAAAACATGATTTATTGCCCTTTGAAGCAATTGCTTCCAAATATTCAATGCTGTAGAATATTTTTAATAAGTAGCAACATTAAGTTACTTTTCTAGTTTGTTTAGAGTGCTAGGTCCCTCTATTTCTGTTTCTGTGTGTCATGCTAGCCCTCCCTCAGCTTTAGACTTTTGTTGCACAGGCAGTTGGAATAAACATGAGGTAGAGCTTTTGTGATTAGCTTCTTGCTCCTTACGGAATACAATTTATTTTCTGCATTTTTTTTTTCTTTCTTTCTTCTTGACTCTTTTTGACTAGGGTTGAAAGACTTACCAAGGGGAATTTTGTTGCCTCACCGCTCTTTTAGGTTGGAGTGATAACTTTTTGAGAATTGCTTATATGTTGCAACACTGCCTTTTAGCCAATTCTGAAAAATAACATTTTTCTTAAGATTGTTTGCTTTGTGACAGTCCTTTTTCAGATATCTTAGGACAGGAGAAGAGGGGCTGGAGTGGAGATAGTTACTTAGGCACTTGCCGTTTTTAAGTAAAATACATTTCAGGAACACTGATGGAGCAGACAAAAAGAAGAAACATTTCAAGATGTTCAGCTTGTATCTTCCTAGTATTTAGAGAGAGTAGATTTTTCAATCCTAAACCTAACATTAGACCTGGTCACATATGTTTATTGCCCAGAAATTTAAGCTTAAATGACTGCAATTATAAATTTGCGGTTTAATACAGAATTTAAAACAAACGTTTGTATCATAAGCTACCATATATAAGTACTGCCTGCATTTTTTTAAGTTGATGGAAATGTAGAATGACATTATCAAGAGGTTATGGATGATCAGGGTTTAACTGAGTGACATGCAGGCTGAAAAATAACAAGTACTGTGAGCAGTGCTGTTTGTGTCCTTTTTTTTTTCTTTTTTTTTAATATTGGGTTGATCTTGAAAATAAGATTAACCAACTGGTTTAAAGGAGAAACCCTTAATAAATGACCTGTTGTCTTTGTTTAGACGGATTCTTTCAAGATGGGACAAGACTTTGTTAAAAACTTCCCTGACAGTGTGGACAGTCTGGAGGATGTGGACGTGACTTCCAGAATGTTCGGCCTTGATTCCTCAAACAAGACTGTGTCTAAAGAAGCTGTTCACAGCTTTACCACAAGTAAAAGTACTCTAAGTGCCTCATCAGAAAGACTCTTAATACAAGATGCTCCTAAAATGCAGTGCATAAATCAAACATTTTCAACCAGTAGCAATAGCAATAAAAACTTAACCAGCCCACAAGGACACAGGATAAATAAAAGAAGGAAGAGTGACACTTTACAGAGAGAATCCTTAAGGTTCATGAAAGGAGTGATGGATGAATGTACCCATGTAGCTAACTTCTCAGGTATGTAGTTGTTTGTTTTAATGTGCAGTTTGGAAAACTGAATAAAATACGATGGAAGGAAAGGTATTTTCTTCATTCTCCATTGTGTAAACCTGCTGGCACCTTAGCTGAAATATGAAAATATCTTGAGTGCTATTCAGTAGCATCTAATTACCACTCCATTTCCTAATTGTTTTTCTGTTTCTTCTTAATGGCCAACTAATGATAAATTAAAAATTTGTGTTTCAGTATCTTTGCTCATTTTTTCTCTGCCTTGCTGTGGCTATTTTCAGATATGAGTTAGTGCAAATTTGTATTATTTAAAAGAATAAAACAACTGTGTGATGTGAGTAAAATGTAGGTGTAATTAACGTGCTAATAAGTTTTTTCAAGCAGATTCAAATAAATCTCATAAAGCAGAAATCTGATATTGACTTCAGATAGAAGGTTGCCTACATAGCTGAGAACCAAGCTTGAATGATAGTTTTAGACAAGTGTGACCAGTAAAAATGCACAGAGGTCCTTCTGGGACGATGCAGTCTGGTGAATATAGTGTTTCCCAAGACAGGCATAGCATATAGAGGGAGCTGTAGCCCAGAAAGCCTTAAATCTGATGAGCTTGGGTTTCTCGGCACCTAGGACAAATCCCTTTCAACGGCCCACTTGCAGGCAATGCAAACAAGTGATGTCTTCCTAGAGCTGATTGAAAGGGTTTTGCTGGAGTGGGGGCTTGGAATTGCTTTTGCGGCAGTCCATTCAGACAAAATGGTTCAACTGTGCACGTGCCCACTGAGGACTGTCAACATGTCCTAGAACATGCTTTGACTTCAGACAGGTTTCTGACGGAATTGTCTTTGAATGTCAAAATATTCTTGATGCTGAGACCCTCTGCCACCTCATTTTTTAATTCTGGCATTCAGTACTCCACTGAATGTAAATGTTAAAATGTAAATGGTAAATGTTAAAAAAAAAAAAAAAAAACAAACCAAAACCCAAAGATTTCTACACTTAGCATAGATTTCTTGACTTGGACAATGTCCCAGATCACTGCTAGCCAGGGACGTTTTGTGACAAATACCAGTGAAGTGCTTTCCTTAAAGCTTTAAAAGTTATTTCAGTAGACAGAAAAAAACCTGCAAACTTTATTCTAAGTACATACATTCTTGTTTATGTAGACACTTATCCCTGTATCACTTAGCTAAAGCATTGACCTTCCTTGAAACTTAAGAGGATCTGTGATCCTAATGCACTTGTCAAAGTGATGTAGTCCTTTGTGTTCAGCTGTCTCCTGGCTCTCTTCATGCTCCAGGAAGACATTGCATCCCCTGCCAGGGTATCCTTGGAGCGTATCTATAGAGGAGCTTCGGAAAATCTGCCTAACATTCAGATTTCATGGAAAATTGAACGGAAGACTAGAATCTGTCTTAGCATTACATATCCTCTGCACATGATCTAGTATATATGAAAGGAGAGGGTCTAAATTACTGGTGACACCCCATTGTCAAACATCTTGGCTGGTTACTCTTTACCACATGCATTCTTTGTGAAGCAAGAACTGTTCTGTGTTCAACATCATTTTGGTGTTATATTTCTCAACATCATTTTGGTGTTACTCCTGTTAGTAATCTGATTATTGCTGTTAGTAATCTGATTGGTGCAATTCTAGTTATGAGTAATAAATATTTATAACAATACATTGGGATTTTAATGTTGTAACTAAAACATGTAGGAAACAGAAAAGAAAGTGAACGTATACTGCACTTTGTCTGACCTCTCATATGAAAAGTTGTCTTTTTTCCTCTCCTTGAGGAAAGAAATTATATGAAGCTTCTATTCTATTGAATTTCAGATGTCTCCTAGTTCTTTTTGCTGAAGAAAAGAGACTTCAGAGAGCTGATCTGAATGCTATAGAGTTTTGTTGATAAGAGGAAAGACAATTCTCCTATCATTCCTCAAGGAATTGTGAAGTTTTCTGCTTTAAGGGAGGGAAGGGGATTAATTAGTTTGTTTTTCTGCTGATGGCCTTACTACTGTAATGTCAAAAACCGGATAAATTCTGCTGGAGACTTTAGAAAATATAATTTTATTAACGCTTAGAATAATTTTAATTTTTTTAGAAATAGAGAACACTTTTACAACAGAAATCTCAGCTGACATGTTTCTATTTCTTACCTTAGCTGAATTCAATTTTGATTTGTTTTTCTTTAGTTCCAGTTGACCCAAGTTTAATCATAGTTGTGCAAGCTAAGGAGGATGCATATATTCCTCGAACTGGGGTGCGCAGTCTTCAAGAAATCTGGCCCGGATGTGAAATTAGGTATCTGGATGGAGGTCATGTCAGTGCCTACCTCTTCAAACAAGGACTCTTTAGGTAAGGTAAACAGGAAAGTTTAAAAATAGTTGGGAACTTAAAACCATAATTTTGAGACACATAGTTTTTCTTCAGAACAAGTCTGTAATTATTCTAAAGCAACAAATACCAAATATTCTTGCTTTAAAGAACAAGTTATCGGATCTGAAGTAATTCAAAGAGAATGTCAGTATTTTCATTTTTATGTGCAAAGATGAGGTGCAGCATAGCTCAGATCGTTCCGTAAGCCAATGGCAAGAGAATGATCATTTTCACTCTTTTGCTTTCCTATAAAAGCTTTTAGTTAGTTTGTTCACTGGGCACTAGAAAATATTTTTTTAAGCAGTGACTGCTTATGTTGTATTGTGTAGCTGTTGTCTTCTTGAAAATGTTGTCTTCTGAGAATGAAAAAAAACCACACAATTGAAGATGAGAACTAAAATAAAAGCTTGACTGCAAATGAGTAGTACTTGCATGAATTCTGGCCTTAGTAATACTAGGCGTTGACTTTCTGAAGGCAGTTATATAAATCAATTATATAAATGCAATTCCTTATTTTAGAAAGTTATATACTTGTGCTGTTAATTTTAAAATATGAGGAATTAATAAGACTGTACATCCCAGTTAGGAAGTCTAAGCAACAACAAAAAGGAATAGCAATATACCGGATCAAGGTATGCTAACCACTAGCTTACTGCTATTTAAAACTTCAGCCTTATTTTATGATAGTTGCTCAAAAATTATAAATTACGCATGTGTCTGCCCCGTTTCATGACATGTTTGAGTAGAAAACTCCTAATCCATTAATATTTGCACTCGTATTAAAGTTGGTAAACAGTCCCATTCATTCCTGAACTATAAATATATTACTGGATTGAAGTGAGAGATCCCAGAAATAAGTGAGGGATAAATGACTACCTAGTATCATGTTTTTATTGAACTGTTTTGAAATTATACTGTTTTGAAATTGTGATGATAGCTTTGTAAATATATTTGTAAATATATGGAAATAGGCCACTTATATCTGCCCTTTCCTAAATTATACAAATGATCTTCTTTTTTCCTTGTTTTAGACAAGCAATTTATGATGCATTCGACCGCTTTCTTCAGAAATATGCAGTTTAAAAATCTTCATAATGTATTCAAACTGATCTCATTTGTACTTCCGCTTACTGGAACTCACGTTTGGAAGACAAGCCTCTTGCAACGTTGATTAGATGGTCACTGACTTTGACTGTTGTAGGTAACAGTTATCAAAAATGGTAAAGTACCAGCATTACTTCCATTTCAACCAAATGCCATTCTGACACACTTGGTTCAGCTTTACCTGTGAAAAAACAATGGCAGCAGTTGTTAGTGCATGAATGGTTCATGTACTTCATGTTTAATCCCACTGTGTATTCCTTTAATTCTGAATAAATTCTGAGTTATATCAGCTGAAAACAGACCAATCCAAGTACTGAAAGAATGTAAAATTTGCTGTAGGGCCAAGATGCTCTCTTGCGTTTAGTGTATTTTCTAGTTTGTTCCAGGTACCTTGGTTTCCTCTTGCTTCCTCCTCCCCTTGCTACTCCTGTTGTGTTGTACAATGGCTTTGCCAGCACTCGGCCTCTTGTGTTTGTCACTGATTTTCTCTATTATGAATTGAAAATGAGCTATAATAGAAGGGACGGCATCAAATCTTGCAAAAAGAGACTTTCAAAATTCAATGAAGAGTGAGAGAAAGGCATTTTCATTCAATGTGTCTGAGATTCTCTGCCACTGGATTGAACCGTGCCATATCAGAAGAATCATGTAGCAATTCATTGATCAGTTTCACAAAACCGGAGTAAGTGAAAATGGAGTGTCTAGTAATTAATTGTTTACATCCATTCAGTTGGATAACATAAACTTTTTCTTCTAGATTATTTTTTTGTAGAACACTAGAGGAAATAAAAATGTAATCATTTTTCTTTAGAAGCAGTGGCACAAAGAGTCTGATTCTAAGCAGTTAAATCAACAGCAGATTATATGGTGCTATAAAGACCTGTTGGAAATATTTCAACAGAGATCCTTTTTAAAGTGCACTCAGTGCTGACATGCAAAATGTATGTGAGACTAAGGGTTATCAAAACAGTAAGGTTAGTTCCGTGTTTTTCAACACTTTTTTTAATTGGATGGAAAATAAAAAAATTAGGATTATGAATGCATTTAAGGAAATCCGAAGTCTGTTGCTTCTTCTTTGGGGATCAAAGCCAACAAATTATAGTAGAATAAAAGGTTGTCATGCATCAGCTGTATATGGTATCTGTCCACATCTTATTTTGTGGTAGTCTCCTGTAACATTCTTCTAAAGCTAGGTTGCAGGGAAGTTGAAAACTGAAACACTTCAATATTAATTTTAGTACAGTAATGACCAGAGTTACACAGAAACAAATAGAAAAATCCAGCCATTTCTCGGGATATGTGACTTCTACACCTTTCAAATCAGCACTTCATTGATCTCTGTGGTTAGTGTAATGTTTTTTAATAGGCTGGGTATGAAACAAACTAGTAAGTGGGAAGAAATCATGATTCACCTGAAAATCAGATAAGTTTGGGTAAAACTGAAGTGCAACAATTTGTAATAACCCAAATTATTTAACATAAAAATTTACTGAAAATGCAAAAGAAGTTATATTCCCTTGGAAGTTAAATTGCTTGTTTCAAGTGTTTTCTCATCATTTCTTTAGGCAGTGTTGCTTTCATATATATTGGGAGCAAGTGTGAAGTGACTAGCATTATTTCAATGTAGTAAAACACTGAATGTTGGAAGGTTTGAAATCAAATATAAGTAAGCTTACAAATTTAAAACTGAAGGCTTGACTACTATACCAAAAGATTTATGGGGTCTACATTTTACAAGCTCATTCATCAACTAAAGAGTGTTTTACAAGACCATTGTCTGCTGTTCACCAACTTTTTTAGATCTCACATTTTGACTGTATTTGTGTGCTTTATGTCCTGTTTCTGTTGCAGCTATGAGAGAGGGAGATAACTGGTGGCAAGGGAAAGGGCTTGAGTAAACGGAAGAGAGAAAAGACAGATTTTGTAAGGTGGGGAGTAAGAACAAAAAAAAAAAATCAACTTCTCTGTGCTACAAAGTATATAACATGCCAAAGTAAATATTTTCAAAGTGCACAATACTAGGAATTACAAGACTGATGGGAACTTGACATCCTGAGGTTAGTGTTCTGATGATATTACTAACAAGGTTTAACTTGCCAAAAGGGCATACAGATCTCTGCTAAAGTAACTCCTGTTTGTGAGAGTGTCTTTTGGGATAAATAGTGAAGGACTGGTCTCCAACAGGAATGAGAAATCACACTTTGCTGTGTAACTAAAGCAGTATTGCCAAATACAGAAGCCCAGTAAGAAGCTTTTAAGAAATTTCTCAGGTTAGAATAACAAAAAGGAAAAATGAGCTCTGTGGTCTATTTCTGCCAGTTATGAGACATAGGAAGCTATTAGGTGGTCTGTGAAGGGGGGAATCGTGCTGTGTGAATGTTTTTAACCTTTGGAAAATTGACTTTTTAAACCAGATTTTAAGGTTAAATCCTAAGAAAGCATTATTAATAATCCATTTTGATGTTAAATGAGAATGTGATTTTAATCCAGCAATTGCATGAGAAAAATATTGGAATAAGGTTCCTGCACTAAACTCAAATAGCAGGTAAGCCATTCTGTATGTCTTAAATTTATTGTAAAACTGGCCTTGATAATTTTTTGTTTTAATGTTTTTCAATAAAAAAGTCCTAAAAAAAAACCAGTTAGGTGTGAGTTCTTTTCTTTCTTTGTTAACAGGAATTCAAATGCCTTTCACTGTCATCCTGTAATCCTTTTTACTCCTACTAGTACTGTAGCACAGGAAGAGTAGTTAATCTACAGTACAAGATAAAAGCTTCTCATAACAAACAGTGATACTGCTTTCATGTTTTTCTACATGCAGTACTTAGTAAAGAAAATAAGCTTGTATCATCTAATTAAGATACCGTTGTGATTCCAATTTTAGGCTTTTCTTTTCAGTGGCTTCATTGTGCTAGAGTTTCCCGGACTTACTTAAAATCCCTTCTACTTGTAAAAGGGTCCAAAATCTGTACAACTTTTTCCTGCTTGCTGCTGGGTTCCAAGCAAGGGTGTGTTGTACCATAATAAACTCAGAGCGTATTGTAGGACTGCCCAGCAGTACTGGAAAAAATCACCCTTGCTGTTGGTGGTTGCTCTTGCAAGGTGGGAAAGTGGTGGTAGGATTTTAGAGTGCTGCTGCTGGGGGAAGAGGAGGCTACTTCATCGTCTGCAGCAGTCTCTCGTATGAATGGGAATATCACGCGCCAGCTGAAAGGCTGCTTTCAACAGATAGCTGTAAATGTTGCTGGCAGGTGCATTTTGGAGTCTTGATGATGTTTATATGCAAAAAAAAAGTGTCTTGGAAAAATGTTGTGGCTTACTCTGTGGAATTGGAGCAGTCCTTCTGACTGAAGCCTGCCAGTTGTACCCAGCAACCAAGATGCAATCAATTTTATTTTGGTGCTCGGTTACGCCATCTGAAAAGCGAAGGCCGTGGTAACACCTCTGCATACTAAGACTGACAAAACATGAGGAGGACAAACGGAGCGGGTAGCGCGTTTTGTCTGCATTTGAAAGGAAAGGCTCCGGACAGAATGAGAGGTTAGGTCTGGGGTGTTATCTCTGAGTAACCCAGGTAATTTTTTTTAGCGTTTTGTTTACACGTTTCTCTCCTGGCACCTAAGTGCTGATCACCGTTTAGAACAGAACACATCTTACTGTTGTCGAATGGAGCTTTTTGTAATTTTTTTTTCCCCAAGTTCAAGAAACACCCCCCTCAAAAGTGACCGCTCAGCAATTTTTTTTAGCAAGGATAGATCACTTGCGCTGTATTACTCTAGAAAGTCTGCAAAAAGATACCATTGTATTAAGGAATGGAGTCATGTTGCTTTGTTTTATGGGAATGTCATATGCATGTTTATAGATACTCTTTAAATAGATTAGAAAGTGAAAATCCTTGGATCCTCAGAATGCTGTTTTTTCTTGGTAGCTGCTAACGTTTTGAGGCAGTTAATTTTTCTTTTATTTATCTTAATTGTTTTTTGTCGCTTTTTTTAAAAATGTGTTGGTTGGGCAGGGAGGTTTCTTTATCTTAAAGTGTCAGGTTCTCCGTCAGCTTGGCTGTAATGATAAGTTATACAGTATGGAAAGGAGGTTCATATAGTCTGTAGGCATGTAATTCCTCGTGAAAAACTATTACATGAGTAAAATGCTCCTGTATTGTGCAATCCTGTAATTTGCAGTGTTTCCTGGTATGCTTGGATGCTTCTACGCAAGCTAAAACATAAGCTTTAAAATGTAAAGTAGTTTGTAAGGATTGTTATTCTCTTGGTTTCATGTACGGTAAATCAGGCTCTTTTTCAAACATGAGTGTTTTAAATACTCTGCTCTTAAAGGAGAAAGTACTGTGAGTTTTGCCGAGGAAGTCTGACTTGCCCTGCTAGAAAGTAACGAGAGGGATGACACAAAGTGGACAAATTGCGAAGGATGAGTCTTAGGCAACTGTAAAAGCTTTTTATATACTATTCAGGCCAGGTCCATCCAATAAAGTATACCGTAAGCCTCCTACCACAAAGTTAGCAAAACAATATGTACAAAAACGTCTCAAGCTGCCACGTTACTGGTCACCTTTACTGGTTTTTTGGCCCCCCCGACACTTAACTCTTAATGAGTTTCCTGCTTTTTTCCCGGTCTACAGGTTCGTGCACTGCAGTATTGCAGTGTTCTTGAAGTCCCGGCTGGCCCGCACATCTGCTTCCTTATCTTCTAACGCTTGCACGAGAAAAAGAAGAACCAGGAGGTTAATCCCTTTCTTACCAGTGACTTAGGTAGGGCCTCTGTACTTTCATATCACTCTAACCTCTGCTTAACTTCTGATTTTGGAAACAAAAAAAAAAGATGTGAAAATTGTTTTGAATGGGGAGCGTGACCGATACTCTTGTTTAGGAATGTAGATGTAAACATATACGGATATTGCCCTTTTCCCCTGTCAAAATTCTTATTCAGTAAGAATGCTTTCCTCCATTTCAAATGAATTTGTCACTGCAATATGCAATTGGCATGTCCTTGATTAGTAAATTTATTGCAGCTGGAAAGATCGAGTTCTTGGCTGCAAAGAAAAATGCTTCCAAGAGTTTGAAGATTTGCTTTAATTTTTTCACCGTTTCACCGTTTTTCCTCTTTCTTGGTATAAATTTAAAAGTAAGAAAGAATACATGTGTCGCTTTTTGTACAAAAAGCGCTTAGAAGCGGTAGTGAATTTTTTTTCTATTTATGCAAAGAGAAACTCCTCCCTTATTACCCACGTTTGGAGCTTAACTCTGCAGTTACAGAAACATCCATTGAAGCATCTATGTGGTTTGCTTATAGTAGCATAAAACAATTGTGGCAGATGTTTTAATG